CGATCCTGATTCAGATGAATGGGCTGGCAAGGCCCTAAAACAATGCGACATTGATAAGAAGAGCAGGTGACGTCGACGCAAACGCATGGCGAGGCTAATCAAGAATCATACTGGCTTGTATGTAGGCGACGTTTTCATGATGCCATAAGCATGCAGTCCTTTGGTAGCATCCTCGTCCCGTGGTCGCCGCTAATACGGAAACGTAGGTATCACGGTGTAACAGTCCTGCTTGATGAGACGGGAGGAAGGGAGCGAACGTCTGGCGGCGCCGTTGCTGACAGTCGTTGGTCTCGTCCAACCAAATAGATAGAGATGCCTTGTGTGTCGAACCGCAGCTGGCATTATGATTGGTGCACGCCACAACGAAACCGTCAACATAATTGGGCCCAGGCGCTGGAGCTGAAGACGATGAAGCATTACTGGGGCACTCCACAAGTGTCTCTCAGCACGATATGTTCGGGATAGGTACGGTAGGTAGGTATTGCACTATGCTTGCGGCACGCAGCCGCGATTATGTCTTCGTTCCCTGGTACCAGGCTTTGCTACCTACCCGGCAGTTGCTAGAGGTAAGTGCAGCCATGTACGGGACAATAGAAGAGTTGGAGAAGGCGGGGAGAAGGAGTGGATGGGTGGCTGAAGCTCCTTGGCTTGCTTTGGGTCTCATTCTATTTGCTGGATGGAACATCTCTTAGCGAGTGGGGAGGCTCTTGCGTTCTGATGGCCGGGAAAGTGCAGGATGATGGTCATCCCCGCGGCTGATTGGGCCGCCGTGCATGAGTTTGACTGGAAGGTCGCCAGTAGAGTGGTGGGCGGGAAACCAGGAGGGGGGGGGGGGGGGGTGTTTAATGTCTTGGAGCTTGGAAGAGCTTCGGAAAGGGTCATTTGGGCCGCCGTCAGCCTTTGATCGACGGCCCGAGAATCATGTAGATGCAGACTCAGGAGGTTGAACAGAGAATCTTGACTGACAGTGAACTTGGCGGAGCTGCCTCGCCTCGCATTGTCTGGTGACAGCGTGGCTCCACGATCCGCACACATGTGGAGGGGTTGTATCCGTAGTACATCGTACATCTACGTACCTACCTCTCTAAGGAAGGTTCGACGAGGTAGGCGACTAATTAGACCACATCCAATGGGCTCGGCTCACATTCCATGCCTTTACACTCACTGTACGGAGTACTACCTACCCATTTACCTAGGCAGGTATATACATACAATACACACTTACACTACACTCGCTCCCCATTTCGGTGTCAAATTCGGCAGCAAGTTTCTGGCCAACTAACTGTCTCAACACCCGGCGAATTCCGCGACGCAACAAGAAAGCATCTCCCTGCTGGCGTGAAATAAGGTCAGATCAAACAAAACTTAGAGGCCCAGGAAAAAGAAGCTTGGGCGAAAAAGCAATTTTCTTCCCCAATCCCAACCGTCACCCCCCTCCTCATTCCGGGTCTGCCTTCCCTTGTTGGATTAGATGTCATCCCTCGCCTTAGTTGCACCTTCCACGGGGATTGGGCCCTGGCGGCCGGGGAGAAACAAGCCGCCGGTCATCCATCCATCCACCCATCCACACACCACCCGCCCATGGCCACGGCTCCAACGCCATTCATGCACCGCGCCAGTCTACGACATAGCATGGCATGCTTCCTTAACCTCTTACGTCCGTACCTACTTATCTTCACGGCTGGGAAAGTATGTCTGTATATGCACCAACCACCACCGCTACCACCAGCACCAAAACATGCCTTGCATTGCCCGCTGTCTGCACGCATACGTCAGTCGGTCAAGAGAAGAAGCCCAGGTAGGTAAGCAACAGTAAAGCACCAGGCCGGTTTGTTCGGCCCATTACCAACGATCATCCGCAAAGTGGCCGTACACCTTCCGAGTTCCTTACTCTGCTGCTTACCCCCAACTAGTCGGGTGGATGCCCGTCCGGTTTGCGGCAATGCAGTGAAGCAGCGGACTCGTTCCATTCTAGGACTACACTGTCCTCTGTTTGTCTCGATCCGGCTCAGACTCAAGACCCTTGGTGCCTCAGCTTCCACCCCACTGACATTACACTATCGTCTCCGACCGCGACCCTGATCCTTGACCCCCTTGTACCCCGGCCCTACCGCTCCGCATGGCGCACTACTCTACCACTAGAGCCGCGGTGAGATCCATCCACCCTCCTCAAGCAGACACCTATCTTGCAACTGAGATTGACCAAGGATCGACCGTCAGTTCAAGGCTCCGGCAGCAAGCAGTCAACTGAAGCACAGCACAGGCTGGGTTTGCACATGCACAGCACCGACATCAACCTAAAGCATCCCAAATGGAGGCGCGCGGCGCACCGGGCGAGGAAGCATACGTAGCAAGCCGCCATTGTTGCTGCCGGTCGCCCGCTCTGCCGCCCCCCCGAAGCAATCAGTTCGAACCGCAGATGAGGCCCAGGACCTGCGCCGTCTGCCCCGGCTCTTTACACTCCCAAACACGCCAGTGATTCGACATTGAGCCCACCTTATCTTACCTGAGGTCGCCAACCTACCTCCCCAACCAGTACCTTTTAGCACCGCAGGGCGAAAGCGCAAGCGATTGCCATGTTTCTAATATCGTCCTTTGCATCTATTCTGGGCACGACACGCGATCGATACACAACGGCCAGAACTACAGTCACGCCCCTGTTATTTTCTGGTTTCTGCTTCCGGTCTACCAGCACATAGTATGGAAACTACTGCGTATGCTACGTTTGGTGGGGGTTTTCGTTTCGTCAACGTTTTCCCGAAGTGAGGGCCGCCAGGCATGGAGTCCCCAGCAATAGAGGGGAACAGAGGGATGTGTACAGTACGTAGTGGGGACCGCACCGTCCTGGAATGTTGCCGCCAGTCGTCTCGAACCGCCCGGCTGCTGAGCCGCATGGCGGCGTTCACCAATTCGGGACATAAGCTCGAGATACAGGTTCTGCGACAGGGACGCTGGGAAAATAAGAAACGTCAAGCGGGTATGGTATGCGTCTACTTATGTATGACATGCCATTCGAGCCTGTTGCCATTGGTGAAGGTGCACGACGGTCAAGCCGGGGAGATGAGGTCATTTCGAGTACAGGAGCATTATCTGCAAATCGGAAGGAGAGGTCGACTGATACGGACCAGTATGGCGCGAATGAATGAATCCATACGGCAATCTTTGGTGCAGCAGACAGTTTTTGGTTTCTTCTTCTGCTGCCGCTGCCGGAGCGCATTGCTGTGGGTGCCAGACAGAATGCACGCATCACAGACGCAGCAGCAGCAAGCAATGCCTCGGAACCAGCAGCCAGGGCCGGGCGCGTACCCGGTAGCTCGAGTCGACTCCCCCGTCCTACCTACCCCCTGCGCAATCTCTCTCAAGCTAGGTACCGAGGGTGCTCGCGGAGGTTTCCTGATGTTTGCTCATCTTTCTGTATCTTACGGCAGTCGGTTGTCAACGAGTTGCTTGCATGCTTTTTCCAGTCAAAGAAAACCTTGACCACATGGAGAGAAGGCAAATGTGCAAGTTGGTGTTTGCACTGTGCTTTCTCGTTTTGCCATTTGATTCATTATGGCACATACCACTCACTACACATCAAGATAGACAGGTACCTACCGTGTGGAGGTTGAAGGTGGGGAGGGGGAGCAGCACCTCCCCATCCAGTCCTGCCGGCAGGGTTCTGTCATCTTAAAGCGCGAGGGAAAGCAGCAGAACAGGGGGAGGAAAAAAAAAAACACACCCAGGATACATAAGAACAAAACCGGTACGTACATCTTTCGCTCCCCCACCACACGAGTAACAGGTTACACTACCTAGGTACCTGCCTACACCACAACTAAACGGCCACACGGCCACACGCCCTCAGGCTACTGTTAGCGCCCTAGGTAGTTGCAGTCCATTCATTCTTCGATACCCACGGCCAGTGTGCCCACTCCCCTCCTCGACTCCCCACTTTATTTCCCAGCAGGCCTGAAAAAGATGCAAAGGAGAAGAGGGAGAAAGAGAAGGAGAAGGAGACAATGTGCGAGCACAAGTCACTACATACACACATTGACACACCACCCACCGCATTGCATAGAGTATCCGTATCCGTACATTGCTCGTCTTTGCTGTATCGTCCACACCACACACTCCACATCAGCCTGTCTGGCCGTGTCATGTAGGTATCGTTCCTCGTACACGATCAAGATTCCAACACGTCCATTTCTTCCATCCATCCAGCCCGGGCCATCCAATCGACGGGGCGGGGCTGTCTCTCTCTCATTTTCCTGACCCTGCTGCTGGTGCTACTTACTGTATTTCTCGGCTTCAATCCTGGCTTTTTACATCCTCCAGGCCCAGCAAGGTGGAAGCTGCAAAAGTGTCCCGTCGTCCCGTCCACTTCCATCCATCCTTGATTCCATTTCTAACTCAGCCCACACACGGCCCAAGAAACCCACCTGTTGACGCCGTTCAACCAGTGACAGTCAGTGCCCTGGTCCATCAAGCACAAAGTGCTGTGACCCAGCACGCATGTGCTTAGATTGATTGCCGCCGCAGCTTGGTTTGCTACGAGCAAGGCCAAGGCCGCCTCACATACACACACACTCTCTCTCTCTCTCTCGCGCGCGCGCGCGCGCAGCCTCTCGGTCTGTGTTCTGCGCTGTCCTCAAGCCCCTCGAGCTACTGCTTTCACACCTACCTTGGTTGTATGCTGCCGCTGCCCACTACCCACTGCCCGACTTGTTAGGTACTGCGACGACTGCATCCGCCGGGTCTCGGCCGCTGCCACTTCCAATCCCACTCCCACTCTTGTTCCCACTCCCACTGCGTACCGTGCCTCCCCTCCGTCTCCCGTCCCCCTCGTCCCAAGCACAAGTCGAAGGGGGCAGCATCGCATTGTGTCCGTACCGAATTTTTCCTCCTCACACACCCTCTATTCATACCCTCTGTCGCTTCCTTCTGCCTTCCTTTTTTTTTGTCTTTTTTTTTTCCCTTCCCCCCTTTCCTCGACGTTTTTAGACTTTTTAGGGTGTATCATGGACGGCACCCAGGGCACGACTATTTCCAACGGCACATCCCAACGTCGCAAGCTCACCAAGAAACCTCCCTCGTCCTACCAGCAACATACCCGCTCCTCGAGTGGTCTCGATGGTGGCATCGACGCCCTATCTCTCCAGAGCAAACGCAGCTCTACTTCGCTGAGACGCGCTCCTTCCGCTCCACCTGCTCGGACGACTCCCTCAAACGCTGCCGCTGCCGCTTCGGCTGCCATCCATCCCGGCGTTGCTTCTTCTGCCGCTTCCAACAACTCTTCTCCCCGTCATCTTCCCTTAAGTCAGACGCACCTTCCCAATCCCTCCCCCATCCTGCCTCAGGGTCAGTTCGCCGGAGCCGCTCCTTCCCCGACTGCCTACCACCACCCCCAGACCCAGACCCAGGCCCAGACCTCCACCTTCCACGGCCACGCCAACGCCAGCACCGCCTTCTCTCCTCACCTCCATCAGAACTTTAACCTCCCGTCCAATTTTTACCAAAACAACAACAACAACAACAATACCACCATCTACACCACCAACAACAACTCTGCCGTCGGTAACGGAGTTGGTGTTGGTATCGCCCACAGCAGTGATCGACCCGTCGATCCCACCGCCATAACTCTGTCGTCACAAACCCACGACGACTTCATCGGCGCTCCTTTTGACGGTGCTGCGGTTCTGAACCGCATTGAGCAGACGAAATCGCCCGTCGCCGCTCAACCACAGCCTCACCAGCCCTTCTACCAGCGACATAACGCCCCTCCGCCTCCCCTCATCAAGTCGGCGACCGATTCGCGCATCAGAAGCCCTGCCCTTCGACAGTCACGCAGCTTCACGAACGATTTTTCAATGATGAACGAAAAATCACAAGGTGGCCGGGTAACGGATAACTCAATGATCAGCCCCAAGCGGTACTCGGACGAGGCAAAGGAGCCTCGGATGGGCGTCCTGCGCAAGAAGTCGGGTTTCTCTGGCTTCATGAACAGCCTGGTCGGCACCCCCAAGAAGCCGGTCATCTCGGCCCCTGAGAATCCTGTTCATGTCACCCACGTCGGCTACGACAGCTCCACTGGCCAGTTCACTGTCAGTCGTTCCCTTGCCCTCTTCGTTGCTCACTCACCCTCTTCTGCTGCTCTCATCTCGTTCTTGCATGTCGTTGCGTTTGTTGCGGCTGACATTTTTCACGTTGTAGGGTCTCCCGAAGGAATGGCAGCGATTGATCAACGAAAGTGGAATTCCCGAGAAGGAACGAAGGGAGAACCCCCAAACCATGGTTGACATCATCACTTTCTACAAGGAGACGACCGAGAAGCCGGCCGAGGATCAAGTCTTGGAGAAGTTCCACGATGCCAGAGCGCCTGATTACCGTCAGTATGCGAGCTCAAACTCGCCGTCGGGTGCCATGTCGCCGGGCATGTATCCGCCAACAGCTTATATGGGTATGTCACCAATGATCAGTCCACCTGCGAGCCCTAGGTTTCCAACTGTCAATCATGAAGGATCTTTCGAAAACCCCCGTCAGCCGCCCCCCGTCCCCGGAGTTGGTGGAGGCAAAGGCTCCAGCAACAAGGACATCAACTTGATGCCTAGCCGCCCGGCCCCGAAGCCGCCCGTCAGCCTCCCGATGAGGTCCGCTCCCTCCCCCTACCCCGCCAAGGACTCCGGTATTGGCATGTCTCAGCCCGGCGAGGACCTGCCCCCGGTCGCATACCAGCCGCCCAAGGAGAACGTTCCCATGCTCCCCGAGGAGCACCGCGGAGAACACCGATCTCGATCCCGATCCAACTCGCGCGTCGGCGCCTCCCCCGGCTATGTACCCCCTACTCCTAATCCGCAGAATGCCCAGGCGAGTCTGTACCAGCAGCAGCTCATGCAACAGCAACAAGAGCAGGCCTTGGCCCAAGCTCAAGCGGCCATGTCTGGCCAAATTAGCCGTGCCCCGAGCAAGAGACAGCCCGCTCAGCAGCCGACACCGCCCCAGTCGCAGCACCAGCACCCCCAGGGTCCCACGGCCAATGGCGGGCCTGGTCAGCGACAGCAGGTGGGCGTTCCTGGCGCCCCTGGCTCCAGGCCCCGACACCGTCCCCGCCAGAGTACTGGCATCGACGTCGTCGCTGCACTGAAGCGCATCTGTTCCGACGGGGATCCTCGTGAAGTGTACAAGAACTTCAATAAGATTGGACAAGGCGCGTCTGGCGGTGTTTACACTGGCTACGAGCGAGGAACCAACCGGCTGGTCGCCATCAAGCAGATGAACCTCGAGCAGCAGCCCAAGAAGGATTTGATCATCAACGAAATCCTTGTCATGAAGGACAGCTCTCATCCGAACATTGTCAACTTCATAGACAGCTATCTTTGCGGAGGCGAACTCTGGGTCGTGATGGAATTCATGGAAGGTGGTAGTCTGACTGATGTAGTCACGTTCAACATCATGACCGAAGGACAGATTGCCTCTGTCTGCCGGGAAACGCTTAAGGGCCTGCAGCACCTCCACTCCAAGGGTGTCATCCACCGCGACATCAAGTCGGACAACATTCTCCTGTCGATGGAGGGCAATATCAAGCTGAGTAGGTTCTCTGAACATGGCTCGAGGTGGTGGTATGCTAACATGCGGTAGCTGACTTTGGTTTCTGCGCAACCATCAACGAGGCCCAGAACAAGCGTACCACTATGGTTGGCACGCCTTACTGGATGGCCCCTGAAGTCGTCACGCGCAAGGAGTACGGACGCAAGGTTGACATCTGGTCTCTTGGTATCATGGCTATTGAAATGATTGAGGGAGAACCGCCTTACTTGACAGAGTCTCCCCTGCGAGCGTTGTGGTTGATCGCTACCAACGGCACACCCCACATCAAGGAGGAGTCCAACTTGTCGCCAGTGTTCCGTGACTTCCTTTACTTCGCACTCAAGGTTGATCCCGAGAAGAGAGCAAGCGCACATGACCTCCTTAGAGTAAGTTTGGCCCTGATCCTCACAAGGACACTTCACTAACTCTTTTTGCAGCACGAGTTCATGAAGGGCTGCGTAGATCTTTCTCAGCTGTCACCGTTGGTGCGTGCCGCTAGAGAAGCACGTCTTGCAGAGAAGGCTAGAAAGGGACAGTAGGACGCCTTCAGCCAGTCATCCAAGAACATCTTTCGGCGGTTGAAACGACATTAATCACGACCTTGATGACAACATACTCCGTAATGGGGCTGCCCCTTACCTGTGCATTGAGATACCCTGGGAAGTACTGTTGCCCTCTAGCACATTTGGCTCAAAGACGCTTTCCACCTACATTTAGCACGGCTTCCTCACCCTGCGGCCAAGTCTCCATTGACTTTTGGCTTGTCCGAGGAAGCGGCAGCGTGCGTGCCATGGCTAGCAAACTTTCAGCCTCGATCATAACACTTGCTTTCAAGATACCACGTCGGAGGCCGTTTGACCCGTTTTCAGCATGGACTCCAGACCTTTCTTTTATTCTTGACGACTTGCACACGCACACAACATTCAGCATGTTTGACGATCAAGCAACGTCTTTTTTTCTGACGGCTTTTGTCCTTATGCATTACATAGAGGCGATCACAATCCTGGATCCGCCAACTTGCCTTAGTACCAGGCTCCGGTTGTATAAAGGTAGCCCTCTCATCTCATTGGATTGAGAATTCCGCTTTGGACCAATCATGTTTCCTCAGTTTTGGTGATGAATGTCACCTTGGACGTCAAGTCGCTGAGAGGAGACGAGACGATGAATCGCATGATTTGCTTTGGCCAGCGGGAATGGGTGGCCAACTCGGATTTGTTGGGGCAGACAGGCAAACCCCTTTCAACCTGTCGTGTGGGATTTTCACTGCTTTGTATGGAACATTGAGGGGGGAAAAGGATCGATCTTCAGATGAGACGTTGCTGGATAGTTACGAGAGAGAGGCCAGGACTTTTGGCTCTTTGGTCCGTTATGCCTCACGCCCCCCTGGAGAAGGGGCGCTCCTTACTGGTCATGTGCTAGAGGGTACCACCTAGGTGGTGGTTCACTGGCTCTAGGTAGTCTAGAGAGACTCGGCTTGGTGTTGGAATGACCTTCAGGCCTAGCAAGCAAGCTTAAGAAAGTTAAACGCACTGCAGTTCCAGTTTGTCCACGGGGTGATTGGTGTACGTGATATTTGATACCTGGTGAAGTGTAGGGGTACAGCTTTCAGTTCTGCCTCCTTGTCAAGGTCTTTCGCGCCCCACTGGCTGCCTGTTTTGTGATAATGTAGTGTTCCTTGGCAGGCCCTATGGGAATATAGCCAAAGTTTTGAAGTTCACAACTCGCTGTTGGAAGCTGGAAACAGCACAGGAGCTTGGAGGTCTTGGAGTTTTATTTGGTATACAACTCGGTCATGTCTCGTGCCTCTGGATTTGGCAGCAGACAAGAGACGACAGGGCCAAGTCGCGTAAACCCAGGCCAAGATGATATACGAGCACTCTCTGAACCACATCATCACATGTATTGGTACTCTCTCCCCACGACCCAGATTCCTCCTGACTCCCCTTGCTTTCTGTTCCCTCTCTCTCTCCCCATGCCAGCCCCCTTTCGCGATACCAGAGCAGAGACGACAGCGAACCTACACGACTCTTCTCCGCCACACGCTTGCGTATACACACTCACATACACACACACACGTTCACTTTGCCCCCCAGGAGAGGAAATAAGAAAAAGTCAATGGAAGTCCGGGCCCCTGACTCGGCGAACGAGGGCCCGAGGAAACAGCGTTTCAACCTGCGTCAGGGGTCAGAAGGGAAGTTTTTCTTGGCCCCCCCCCTCCTCCCCTCCCCCCCGGATCGTCCCAGGGTGCGCAGAGGCATGACGCCGCTGCAGTTTATTGCTGCTTGCTGCCTGCTGCCGCTGAAACAGGTCGCTCGCCTTTTCTCTGCCCCCCCCCCCTCCCCCTCCATTCCAATCCCTGGCCTCCTCGAGCCCGCCCGGAACATTTGATCGCGGCGATGACATAACATGCCTCGAGCTTGCGAGCCTCGGCACGCTTAAAGCTGGGTGGGCTGATGGCCCGATGGCTCATGGGGCCCCGTCTGTGCACATCGACAACACGAAGCTCGTAAGTACCAAAGCTCCAGTACACATGCCGCTCGGGTTAGGGAAAACGTCATGGGTTTGTCACAAGGTTTCTTCTCATTTCTTTCAACACCCGCTCAAAGCCCATATCTCGACGCGTGTGCCGTGAGACTAGTTAGAAAGAAGAAGAGGAAGAGGAAGAAGAAAAAGAAGAAGAAATGGCCCCCTATGAATCATCCATCCAACCCCCCTTTTCTCCTTGACCCAAACGCCAGGACTTGCCAAAGAACGAAGACAGTCGTTATCATTAAAAAGACGTTGTGGTAGGAACTGGATGATGGAATAAAAAAAAAAACCAATCATCCGGAGTATTATTAACAGAAAACCCTCTCGAGTCCTCCCTTCAAGCCCTGCACTCCCCTCCTGTTCTCTTCATGTGTGCGACTTGGTATTTAGCAATGGTTTTCGAATGCAAACAAACGGGTATCCAACTCTGCCACTATGCTTGCTGCCTTTGGGCCTTCATACGTCTTTTCACTCGCGCATCTTGACGTAGTTGCTGGGGAAGATTCCATGCCTCGTGCCAATCATGCCAGTCCTGTTGTGAATGTCAGCTTTGCTACCAGGCAAATGAGAATGAAAAAGAAAAGCCACCACGTACCACCAATCGTTTTCACTCTCAGTCTTCTTCAGCACCGTGATGATGTCACCCTTCTTAAACCCAAGGTCGCCGGGCTGGTCGGCGTCGAAGGTGAACAGCGCTACCGCTTCGTTCTTTTTGAGCATAGCATTCTTGGAAGCAAAGTTTGGCTTCGGCGCTGCAGGTCTGCCAGGTGCTCCGGTCTTCTGGCTGCCGACGAAGTTGGGCGACGGGTTATCTTTGTAGACGTAGTTGTCATTCTGATTTCCTCTTGACGCAAATGTGTTGGAGCGTGACACTCCGCCGGCCCCTCCGCCGAAGCCGCCGTTGCTCTGCCGGTCGTAGACGTCGTCCTGCCATGTACTGGCCCTCTTGGGTCCACCAAACTCGCTGGCACCGTCAACACCCCCATTGAAACCATGACCGTAAACACTGCTGCGGTGGTTCGTGTCCCCCTCTCCGAGACCGGTGCCCTGGCGGCCGTTCCATACCGCGTTGTCATGGCTTTGGTCGTAAACGGGGATGTCGTTGTACATGGAATCGTTGACCTGGCCGGTGCGACCAGCGTTGAAGGAGCGGGAGTTGAGGATATTCATGAGCGGCGCGGCCTGGGGCGGGGGTCGGACGCTACCGGTCAGGATCTGGGCGGCGGTGTAGCGGGTTCCGTAGAGCTTCTCGTTGGCGTCGCGGCGCTCGATGATGACGGAGCCCTCCAGGGAGACGCCGGCGAACAGGCCCTTGGTTTTAGAGTAGGCGAAGATGCCCGCCACGCTCTTCAGCGACGCGGCACCGGCAGCCTCGGCGTTGCGACCGACAGGGCCGGCGGCAATGGAGACGTTTCCACCGAGCGTCAGCGAGCCGGCCTGCGCGAATGTCTTGACGGCGCTGGCGTCGTTGAGAATGAAGACAAAGTCAGTCAGCTCGAAGCCAATCTGTCCACCGAAGCCTGCGCCCGCCGTGCCGATCGCGCTTGGCGCACTCCATGATCCGTCGGGGAGTCGTGCGACGGTAAGGCCGCTACCGAAGCGACCGGAGCCAAGAAAGCCGGCCTTGAGTACGGTAAGGATTGCAAGGCCCTAGATTACAGATCGGGGCACGTCAGCAATTATGTTGGGCAAGGGGATTCGAAATGGGCAGGGAAGCCTCTCGGAAGTCGTGTGCGCCACGAAGGCAGGCGGCGGGGGTAGAACGCGGGGTGGGATTTCCACGGCTCACCTTTGCGTTGGCGAGGACGGACGGAGGGATGATCTTGTCGGGACTGAAGGCTTGCCGGGGGTCGATGAAGGAGGTCAGAATCTTGCCGCACTTTTTGCATTCCGCTGTTTGCGTCCGTCAGTCGTGATGGCGCAACGATGACCGGCGGCTGCGGGATGATCGACACCCAGGGAAGGAGGAAACAAAGAGTGGACTTACACGCCATGGACGACGGGAGGGGGTTGTGAAGGCCCATGCTGACGGGTGTGTCGGTGGGGGGGGCAGGAGGCTTTACGGTATGATCGGTCGTCGGGTTTGTCGAGAGTCGGATCGAGGACCTAGAAAAGAGAGAAAGAGGGAGGAAAGGATTGCGAGGTTTGGAGGTGAAGAAAGAGAAAGAAAGAAAAACGTAATGCGGTTAGGTATATAGGTAGGCACTGTTCCTTGGGGATCCTCCCCGTCCACAGTTCCGACAACGAGAAGCTAACTACGTATGCAGGCGTGTGTTTGTGTCCACACCTCCACGTAATTAACGATTGAGTGGGGTTTCCTGGATGAATGATCGGACAGGTGAGAAGAGCGGCCGAAGGGACCTGCGCCTCTTCGTTTTCTGCTCGGCCAGAGTCGATTCCCCCCCTTGTTTGGTTTTTCTAGTGTATCCTGTTGGTTTGGGGGGGAGGAGAGTCTGTCGACACAAGCGCAGCCAAGGCACTCACCCGCTCGTTTTCTTACCCAATGTTTCTTTTTTTACGCTTTGTTGGTTCAGCCGAAGTCTCGCGTAGTGCACGAAGTGCTGTGCAACGATTAGACGACTTTGCAACTCATCAAACACAAGAAATTACCAAGCGACACTCGTTGATGCACCCCGGGATGGGGGGGGGCTCGAAGGTCTTTTCAACCTATTTGGGGTCGGGCAGCAGCAGCAGCAAGCAGAAGCAGGAGGTGACATTTCCTGTCAGCACTGGGATCGCCGAAACCCAATTTCGAGAACTAGGACCGAGAGGCGGGCTAGCTGCCTCGCGAGGCGCTGCAACCTCGACATAGGCCGGGCAGAAGAGGGTGTGACCTTGACGGAGACCGGGTCCGCATGTGTACAGATAGGCTGAGTGAGGTAATCCGCCCATCCAGTACCTCCAAATTCGCGGGGTACTTCAACGTCCAATCCCAGAGGCGTGAGTGCTCCTTTGTCTCTCTTCCGGGCTCCGGGCCAGTGTGGCGCAGGCCTAGGTACCTAGGTACTGACGCGCAACCCCACCCGCAAAGCGCAGTGGCCATCTGCTGACATGCAATGTCACTTTTTTTTGGAGAAGCCGGTCTCCCGGGAGGACCTGCTTCTTTGCAGCCCGGTTCCAGACCCCCCCAGCCTCGCCTTAGTGAGGGCAGATCCAGCCAGCCAGACTGACGGTAACGCATCGGCCTCCGAACCCCCTTCGTCATTGTTTCGCCGCCCCGATCCAACTACACCCGCGCAACCTCCATTGCCAAAAGTCACGATACACACGTTTACTCCCGCCCTTCACCAATTTCGCCAGCGACGAGACCCCACCGGAACCACGTGAAATCCTCCTCCCCTCTCAATCCATCGTCTTCAACTTGCGCGACCACGGGAACCACGTCCGCACCCACGACGACAAAGGCGATCCGGCACGCGCGGCAGTGGGCATCAGTCTCAGCGGCGTACGTACAACTAGGCAAACCCCAATCGAAAAGGTCCATCGAGCCCTGCCCATCCGCGTCATATCGCCCCTGCGTCTTCCGACTCCCTCTCTTCCCCTTGCCCCTCCTCAACCCCGTCCTCCATCCTCCCGGGGAAATCCGCAAACATGTCAGAAGCCTACGAGCGCGAACGCCAAAACAACGCCCGCCTTGACGAGCTGTCGGCCAAGGTCTCGGCCCTCAGGGGCGTAACGGTCGACATCTACGACAACGCGCGCGCCCACGAGGTCATTGACAGCACCGTATGTCTCCCCCTTCTCCCTTACCCCCTTTACCACAGGTGCGCCCTGCCTCCCGTGCGTGCTTGGACGTGGCTTGTCTTTGTCAACCGTAGCTAACGATCCTGCTCTTCCCCTCCGGCAAACAGTCCGATACCTTCTCCGCCATGTCTACCCAGCTCAAGGGCTCTGCCGGCCGCCTGACCCGCATGGCCGCTTCGGGGAATAAGGTCGCCATCCTCAAGCTGTCTGGCATCATTATCGGCATATTCATTGTCTTGTACTACATTGCCAAGCTGTTCCTCTGAAAGACCAGCAGCATATACGCAGCGATACGTCCTAGAACGAGAAATTGTCTCATCGGGCATCGTTCCTCCTTCCTCTCCGTGGCGGGAGATGGTAATGTCGAGGGCCGTTATGAAACCGGGGGTGGATGACAGAGCGAGCGACGACCTTCACCTTCTTTCTTTGATTTTTTATTTATCAACCCCCCCCACAACAAAAACCAAGGCCTGGACTGATAGGAAACGAGAGGTGGGACAATTCGATATCTGCCTCGAAACCAACATCGCAGGAACGACACATACAGGAGCAGACATTGATATAGGGCGGGGGTGGACGTTCAAATACCCTACGCATGGTTTTGGAGTTTGTTATATCTGGGAGGGTGGGCAGGCGCAGGACCGACTGGACTGTATTAGCACTAGCAAGTAGCACGGCTCGTACCAATGTTCATGTTATTTGTACCGCAACTATAGATGCTTGCTTTATATTTGGGCAAACTCTTGTTGATCTATGATGCTTTTGCATTTGAATCGCGTGTGATGCCCCCTGGGAACCCCCCCTCCCCTTTACCAAACATATCTCCCGACGTCCTCATTGATTATCTATAGATCGACATAATAAACTCAAGGGCCTAACCTCGGGAAGCGTCCACTAGCATCTCATCGATCCCGAATCCTTTACCGTTCTCAACGTCTTCAATCTGCAATTTACTGCCAGACATTCGAAAAGAGATCCTCGCTGCCACCGATTGGCTTGGCAGACCCGGAACTGGCAGCGGGTTCTGTGCTGCTGGTCCATCCACCGAACTCCTCGTCGGCCGCAACCTTGGGCGCGGCGCTGAATCCACCAGACGCTCCAGGAACAATTGGCGTGTTGGCGAAGGATCCAGTAGACAGTCCGGAGGACACTCCAGACGAGCCCCATCCGCCAAAGTCGCCGGTTCCTCCAAATGCAGGCTTAGGTGTTTCCGCAGGCTTGGGAGCGGCAGGCGCAGTGTTTGCGTCGGGTGTGCTCCAGGCATTGGAGCCCCAAACATCCGAGTTGGACCAGTTCCCTGCGCCAATTGCGCTCGTGGCGGCCGCGCTCGGGCTGGTAGCAGGAGGCGGTGACTTGGGTTGGTTCGAGGAGAGGTTAAAGACGGAGGAAGATGCGGTGGTGGGAGAGGGCTTGTTGGGGGCAGCGGCGGGCTGGGAAGGAGCGGACAGATCGAACAGGTCTCCCATGGACGAAGCTGGTTGAGCAGGCTTCGGCTGGGACTGGGCCGGAGCTGGGGCGGGAGAATTGGACCAGCCAAACCCGCCAAGGCCACTGTTGGAAGGTTGCTTCTGATGCGTGGAGGGGGCAGGGGCGGCCGGCTTGGAGTCGAAGAAGCTTCCGCCGCTGAGACCGCCAAAGGCGTTGTTCGACGCGGGCGGTGGTGATCTGCTACTGCTAACAGGGCTGGCCAGGCTTGCGAACGGATCTGCCTGAGCCGGCTTGGGGCTGCTTGTGTTGGAGAAGCTGAGGCTGCTAAAGGCATCAGTCATGCCGCCAAACGACTGTTGCTGTTGATGTCCAAAGGTAGGCGAGGGCATGCCGCCAAATGCTCCGCCGGCGGCCTGAGCCTGTTGTTGCTGCTGCTGTTGGGGTTGCGGTCGCGGAGCCGAGGCGTAGAGTGATAGGATAGATTGCTTGAGGTCTGGCCGCGAAGGTCCTCCCATAGCCCCCGCATTGTTGGTGCTGGCGGGTCGAGGAGGGGCAGCGGGTTCGCCGAAGAAATCCAGTCCCAGTAGAGAGTCCTTAGTGCTCGTAGCCTTAGGGGGCGCGGGGTCGGATTTCGGGGGCAATTTGCCGGGCTGCGGGCCGGCCGTGCTGGCTCTGGGGATGGGATCGCCGCCGATAAGATCGACCTGCGGCTGCGGGGAAGTGACGTTCCTGGGAGGAGCCGCCGATTTTCCAACCGAACTCTTGCGAACCGATTCCCTCCGCTCCACGTTCTGCTTCTCCTTTACCAGGCTCAACGGCACATCGTCATCACCATCGACATCAAGACTGGCAGGGTCGGGAATGGGGCCGTCCATTGTCCATCGTTTGAGTTCGTACTTGGTGCGGATGAAGTTCTCGATCTTGGATTCGGAGGGGACGTGGCCGGGGGCCAGCTTGGCCTCCCAGTATTTGTTCGCGCGCGCATTGCCCCAGCTGAGGATGCTTCGGAGCTGTTCATCGGTCCAGGAATCGAGGTCGACAGACTTGACTCTGCTGATATGCGTGCCCATGCCACGGTGGATGCCCGAACACCGGATGCAGATAAAGACGCCGAGGTTCCAACTAGCCCATCGCGGGTCTGCAACGTGGTACCGTCAGTGGAAGGGTCGAGGGGGGCAGTGGGAAAAGCGTCGTCTCCAACTTACGCTTGTTCTTCTTGCAGTCGGCGCATATTTTGTTGCACTCCAACTTCAAGAGGCTCTTGATTGTCAGCTGGTTTTGGGCCGCTCTTTCAGCAGCGGGGTTTGGCGGTGGTCTTCGAGACATCGTGGCTTTTGTTTGTGTGTACAGGGTAAAGGATGACAGATTCTGTGGCGGGCGAAGTTTATAATTCGTTGGGCGATCTCCTGGTGATGCGGCAGGTACAGGCGGAGGGAAAGGGGGAGGGGATCGCAAGATCGCAGAGTTGTCCAGTTGGGCCTCGACCGTTGTATGCCTAGGTAGGACTGAGATTATGGACTAGGTAGAATATCCATACGGCGCTGATACCAGCCAGGTAAGGGGCAACTGGGGTTGAGACCCCGTAGGTAGAGCATGTCCCTGCCTAAGGCAGTGATGACGGCAGTGGAGGTGGGGTCCTACCTCATTTCACTAACGGAAAGAATGCGCGCTGACAGGTGCCCGCCTCTATTGGCAGGTGTCCGAGTGAAACTGGCTGCTTTGTCTCGACAACACGCCATTTATTCGCCTTTGCAGCATCCACTACCGGCAACTGGTTTGTCTACCTTCTTCTTTCTTAATTATTTAAAACTCTACAGGTGAACGACTTGGATTCTGTGGTTTTTGGTACTGCCATTCCTAGCTATAGTATTCCTCTAAAGATACTTGCGCCTAGACCACGTTAATAGAGTTTATCGAAGAGAAAGAGAGGTGCAAGGAAGAATCAAAACTTCGGACAAGAAGCAGAGCGGTCCCCCACCTAATCTAAGTGCACCGGCGTCTGGACTGATGCCCCTAGTCGTGGAATAACCCCTCTTGTCTTCAAATACGTTTGGCCCTACGAACGTCCACCCCCAAATACCGAGTCTGCCCGCTTCTAGGCGCCAAATCAGCTTGGATACCATCGCAGTTGCCTATCGACCATTAACTAGGTAGCATATCATAGCATTGATGCCGCCTACGTTTATAGAAGCAGGTCACCATATCAGACTTGCATAGGCGTTCAATTTCAGAACACGTTGTTGTCCATCATCCTGTACCACATTGAACAGCTGTACTAGGATCGGTTGGAGTTCAAACCCAGCCCATCGCGATTGACTTTAACGTACTTGCCGTCCCTTGATACCCGCGAAAGCTAACCCCTTCGACAGAAGGATAGTTTTGAGTCATGATAGACGCGTGCTGAGGGAACTCCCAGAATCACACCGAAGCATCTGATGTCTCTCCTTGGATCATGGCCAACTCTCTTGAAAAAGGAAGTCGGCAAATGCGTCTCTAAAACCCAGAACGCACCTTGGTAGAGCAACCATGAGCAATGGTAACGACGGATCATCTGTTAGGCCTACGACGCCATCCAAGATCTGTGCCACTTCCCATGTTGCAGTGAGCCTGGAGAAAGCGGTACTCCTCCAATCAAGGGCGTTCCGGCAGCGTCTAGACCAGCCAACCTTGATCCTGATGGCTGCGAACATGTCGCAGAGCCAAACGGACTGAACCAATGAGGCTGACTTATAACCCAATTAGGTTGCGGGGCGGGACTAAGGTACACTAGGTGAATGTCGGGGAAGTAAGGGGTTACGCGTGCCTCGCGTCCGACTCACACCTTAATCCGTTGTATGTTGATACCTCTCCAGCAGATCTCTCGTTTGTCATAGGCAGTATCCTTCCTCGAACCCGCGTCTGGTCGCCTTGCGGCTTCGGCTCCTGCATCGGAAACCCATACCTCATTAGCACATGCCAATGATTGAGCTAACGGCCCGCGCTGACGGAGAGGCGAGACGCTCTTGGAAATCTTTCTCAGAACCTTTCCCTTTAGATCCGACTCAAACATATAGACTTCCTTCTGCCGTGTTACCGGTACCTTCCAAATCGGACCAGCATAGCCACGCCATGCGGAGGATGCTCTGTATATGAGCCCAAGTAGTTGTGTTTGTGTTTTGGTACCCCTCAACTCCACGACCTTCAGTTTTTTGTGCCTGTCGCTTTCCGTCGTGTTGCAAATCGAACTGCAAAAGATCGAACGTGTTAATTTCCAGTATTTTGTGCTCGCCGTGGCTCCCTATGCTGTCGAGAAGATCACGTCGACAGTGCCATCCTTCTCATCCGGCAGGCCTCGAATTCTTGTCCCTGAGAAGCTCTGCTCGGACGGTCTCGCCATACTCCAGGACAAGTACGATGTGGATAACCGCGCCAGACCGTCCCCCAAAGACCTCGTCGACATCATACCAAACCACCACGCGCTGATTGTGCGATCGGAGACAAACGTGAATGCGGCTGTGCTGGCAGCTGGGAAAAAGCTCCGCGTCGTGGCGCGAGCTGACGTGGGCGTGGACAACATTGACGTAGATACAGCGACCGACCAAACGAAGCCGCCCTTCTCCGTGCCTTGGACGAGGGATGGATCGCTGGAGCTGGCCTCGATGTATTCAATTCAGAGCCCGTAGTGGCCGGTTCGACAGCGGCGCAGTTGGCCCGACACCCCAAGGTGGTCGCTACGCCGCACCTAGGCGCGTCCACGGTCGAAGCCTAGGAGAATGTCTCGATGGATGTCTGTACGCAGGTGGCCGAGATCCTCGACGGCGGACTGCTGACGGCGGCCGTCAACGCGCCGCTGATCATGCCAGAAGAGTACCGCAAGCTGCAACCATTTGTACGGCTCATCGAGAAGATGGGCGGGCTGTACACGCAGCATTTCGTTAGCGGCAGAGGCGGCATGATCGAGGGTCGAAAGTTTGAGCTCATCTACCAGGGCGACCTGGCAGGCACCACAAACACGAGGCCTCTGTTTGCCGCTCTGGTGAAGGGTCTCTTCTCGTCCATCAGCGACTCTGGAGGACGAGACGTCAACATTGTGAACGCCAGCCTGACGGCGAAACAAAAGGGCATCATCATCAGCGAGACGCATAGCGGAGAGGTGAAGAACGCCATGTACGCCAGCCTGGTGACGCTCCGATCCGACGGCGAGGACGACGAACAGGTGATTGAGGGGTATGTGTCGGGACAGGGCATATACATTTTCAAGCTGGACCGGTTCAGCGCAATGTTCCAGCCGCAGGGGACGATGCTGGTGTTGCACAATTATGATGAGCCAGGCAAGATTGGGGGTGTGGGAATTGTCCTTGGGCGGCATGGGATCAACATCACCTTCATGCAGGTAGTAAGCCTGGACGGAGAGGAGAAGAGGGCGGAAGGGGGCAACGAAGCCCTCATGATTCTGGGTGTCAAGGGAGAGATTGGAGGCGAAGTGGTGAAGGACTTGAAGAAATCTGAAAGTGTTCTGAACGTAAGCCTGGTAAGGATGTGAGGAGGTGGAGGAGAAAGTCTGTAGGTTATTGAAGACTAGGTGAGACGGCAAACAAGTAGAGACTATTGCAACGCTATAGGCGGCCGGGCATGTTAGTGCGCGATACAACCATGTAGATCAAGTAGGTAAACAAGGTCAATGACAGCAGCGCCGGGCATGTTTAAGTTTGCTTTCCTGACTGAGAGAGCATCATCGGTTGGTATGTTGCCACGCTGTCATGGCCAACAAATCGACTCTGTCGTCGTGTCGCAGCAGATGGGATAACGGCAGTCATTACTTGAGGCTGGGGGGGGGGGTTTCTACCTTTTTTTCTTCTACTTTCCCTCCCGCTTGGATACATCGCTCGCTCCTGCATGTGAAACTTTGTCGACATTTGACGGTAGCTTCGATAACTTCCTGCGAGGTTTCCGTAAATGCACGACCACACGGATGTGGCGCTGTGGTTTTAGTTCATCGAGTGAAGGTCAACGTGACCTCCTGGTGGGCGCAGGGTCCGTTGCGACGACTCGTGGACGTTTGTCTACCTGAAGTTCTAAAGACACAACAACAGGGGGCAATCCTTCGGGTTTGCTGGTGCGGACTAGACAGCTCGGCCGACTGACGTGTTGGAGCGTCGAGTGGCTTTGCTGCAGAGGCAGCTTGTATCTTTACACTGCATAACCTACCTACCGGTAGACCAGATTACCTCTCCTACTAGGTAGGTAGATAGATCCATGTGCTTGTGTCCCCACTGATCAGATATTCCCACATGTACCCCATGAGCGTTAGTACCTACCTACATAGCGTCGTACCCTGCCTTGGGTGCAAGTCATGCCAGGACCTCAGTCGTGGCTATGGCTTTGATGCTCCGTAGGCAGATAGCCAGACAGGCAGACAAGGTGACAGGCTACTCAAGTACTCCGCATCGAGAATAATGAGCAGAATCATTTATGCCGCATACTTTACCCCGGGTTTTGCACAAACCCGGTAAGAAATGCAGAATGACGAGGCATTGGTCGCGGCGGAAACGGCACATGGCGGGGCAAGTGAGACGAAAGCAAGTGCGCTCACTCACTGACTTTGCCGGTTCCGAGTAGCCGGTGGAAGGTTAAAAAAAAAAAAAAAAAAAGAAACAATAAACATAAAAAAAAAGTACGATGACAGAGTATAGAGTACAGTTACAGAGTACGTGTGCGCGATAACAGGCAGATCGCATGCCAGTGCGGGGTCCTAAGGAAGGTCTCTGCGGCAATGATGCATCATCATACTCGCACTTTTTCAAGTCCCCGTCCCTCCCCGGCCGTTGATGACGCCAAGCTGTGCGCCACGAGAGCCCTGGATTGGCTGACCAAGGCAATGTAGCATCCATTGAGGTAGCCTACCTACCTACCTGTACCTCACGTACACTCGGCCCTTTCCTCCCCTTCCATCCTTCTGTTTTCTTGTCCATTAGCTCCAATCTGGGCTTCTTTGACATCCTCATCTCTCGTCGCTAGCAACTGCTACTCTCCCTCCGTTACAGTCTATCGTCGTCGGCTTTGGTTTATCAACAGCGTTAACTACCTCATCTACCTTACCTTACTTTACCTTACCATACCTTACCATACCTAAGGTACCTACCCGCCCACCCAGGTACCTTGCTAGCTACCGTTCGTCTTTCCGATCTTGGCTTGTAGGTGGAGCTTCTGCCCTGCTGCCCCCCGCCTTGCCTTGTACCCTTAGGTGCGTACTACGTAGGTATTGTACAGTACTGTACGCACGCACAAGCACCTGCCTGCAGGTAAACAGAGTGGAGCACTGCACCTTATCACCCTGAATCTGCCCCGTTTTCTCCCCCATCACGCGTCTGCCACATAAAATGTGCGCTTGACCTCGCTGCTCTTCCACCCACTTTTGCGCTTCTTCTCACGATACATCATTTCTCAATTGACCACTGGGGATTATGGCCACAAGGGGAGTCGTCCCGATACGACGGGCCAACGATGCTTCCGGCTTCGGTCTTTTCCGTACTGCCGTGCTTGGCCTTACCAAGGCCTTGACACTGGGCGTGTCTTCGGTCGCTGCCGCCCCCATCCACGCCGTAAACCACCCCGACCGCGAGCCCGAGGCCGAAGGTAGCTCCTTTTGGGTCCTCATGGGTGCCTCTATCGCCCTCGTTCTCCTCGGAGGTGCTTTTGCCGGATTGACCATCGCGTAAGTGCCATTGCCTATGCTATGCACCTTGCATCTATCTGCTTTGTCTCGCCCATGCCTATACCTGTACCCGTACCCGTTTGCTGACCTTGCCTTCTAGCCTGATGGGACAGGACAGCATCTACCTTCAGGTCCTTGCCGGTGACCCCGACGAGGCCCAGTCCAGAAACGCCAAGCGCGTCTATGATTTGCTCAAGAAGGGAAAACACTGGGTCTTGGTCACGTTGCTCCTGTCCAATGTCATCGTGAACGAATCTCTACCCGTTGTCCTGGATCGCTGTCTTGGCGGCGGTGTCGAGGCGGTTGTTGGCAGTACTGTGCTCATTGGTATGTCGTAATGCAACAACACGCTGGCTCCGCATACCCGACTAACACATTTGCGCAGTCATCTTCGGCGAGGTCGTACCCCAATCCGTCTGTGTTCGATACGGCCTTCAAATCGGCGGTTACATGTCTAAGCCTGTGCTTTTGCTCATGTGGCTTATGGCGCCTATTGCTTGGCCCACGGCCAAGCTTCTCGACTGGGCCCTCGGCGAGGATCACGGCACAGTCTACAAGAAGAGTGGCCTCAAGACCCTCGTCACCCTGCATAAGTCCCTTGGCGAGGTTGGCGAACGCTTGAACTCGGACGAGGTTACTATTATTAGTGCGGTTTTGGACCTGAAGGAAAAGCCCGTCGAGAACGTCATGACCCCCATGGACGATGTTTTCATCATGGCCGAGGATACCGTTCTTGACGAGAAGACGATGGATACCATCCTGTCCGAAGGCTACTCTCGCATCCCCATCCACGCCACTGGAAAGCCGACCGACTTTGTAGGCATGCTTTTGGTCAAGATTCTCATCACCTACGACCCCGAAGACTGCCTGCAGGTGAAGGACTTTCCCTTGGCCACACTGCCCGAGACACGTCCCGAAACGAGCTGTCTGGATATTGTCAACTTTTTCCAAGAAGGCAAATCGCATATGGTCTTGGTGTCCGAGTATCCTGGTGCCGATTATGGTGCTATCGGTGTCGTCACCCTGGAAGATGTCATTGAGGAGCTTATCGGGGAGTGAGTCTTACCCTGCTGTCCCATGGTGAAAGCCCGTTAACGCGTGACACAGGGAAATCATCGACGAGTCAGATGTATACATTGACGTACACAAGGCAATTCGTCGCATGACACCCGCGCCCAAGGCGCGAACTCCGAAGAAGACAGTGCTGCCCTCTCCCAGAGTTATTCCCCAAAACGGCAATCTCATCGATTTAGGCGAAGAGCCACACCCCCCATATGAACGTCATGGATCTCTTGGTGCACTTAGCGACGTCTCGGAGAACAACCTGTCTAGCAGTGCGCCGAGGACGACATTCCTGATGAGAAGAAGTTCCACAGGTCCGGACGGGCGTATGACTTCATCTGCCGTCCCAGTCAAGGCTACATTTGATGAGGCCAAACAGCACCTCAAGCACTTGGGGCCTTCTAATCGCGCGTCGAACCCCAAGAACACAAAGTCAACAACGGTCAAGATCAAGCCGGTTCAGGCTGCAGTGGCTCTATCCCAGATCCACACACCCTCTCCCGCCGTACGCCCCGCTTCCGTGGCTGGCGATGCGAATGACCACGGCTTGGACGATGATACAGACGAACACACACCTCTCATGCGGCCCAAACTCACCGGAAAGGGCGCCGTTCATGCTATCCGTAAGAGTTATGGCGGAGCGGGCATGAGCGAGGCTCAGGCCAGGCTCTCCAGTGCCGCTCACGATGCTGAGGGTGGTGACAAGGCTGCCGGCGAGATCAATGTGCCTTCTACCGTTTCCGAGAACAACGGCCCCAAAAGTGCGGCAAGTGGTAGTTCCGAGGCCGCCCGGACAGACTTGACCATCGTCGTCTCTCCCGGTCAAGCCAGCAGCGGGACAAGCGTGATAAGCCCTGTTGAAGATGAATCCGCCACTCCAAAGCGCCGACCTCTTGTTCGAAGCGGTAGCATCAGCGAGAACGTGTTTGAGACCAGCAGTGGTGTGCGGAAAATCATTATCCAGGCGGCCAGCTCGGATTCCGACGAGACCACATCTAAGGGATCCTCCGGACGCCGTTCTGGGTCTTTCGGTCAGATCAATGTTCAGACTTCCGGTCGCGATGCCGAGGGCGAAGAAAACGATGGAGATGGCACGTCTAGCACTGCTGCGAGCATCAACAATAACAGCGGCAGCCAGCAAGCGAGTAAAAAGAAGAACAGGAGAAAGAAGAGAAAAAACAAGTCGTAGACGGGGTGTGTTTGTCTCTCAGTCTGGATTTAGTAGTCAGGGTTGCATCCATATGATGGCGAATAGTAATTCGAGAAAATACAATGATTTCTCGCCTTCAGTGTCGTACCGTTCCAATAACGTGCCATGCTGTCGACTCCAGGGCACCTACCACTGCTGAAGTTGTCTAAACTAGATATTTAAATATCCATGGTGTCTATATTCCTATATGCACACTCTTTATGCATGAATCCCGCGAAGCGTGCCTTGCCTACCTATATCCGAAACTGTTTGTTTCTTGCCTTCAATACCTTGTGCCTCAATCATACCAGATGGCGTTCATGCCGAACCCGGGCTCGGGGATGCGCAGCCTCGCGACGCGGCCGAGGAACTCGTCCTGCCAACGGTAGATCTCGATCCAACCCTCCTGGTCGTCGGTGATGGCGAGCCACTCGTCGGTCCAGGGGCAGGGGCTGGCGGCGTTGCTGTGGCCGCCGCTTGTAGGGGTGGGGTTGAGGCAGATCTGGCGGGCGATGTGGCCGTTGTCGTCGAGGCGGAAGGCGGCGATGTAGCCAGTGACGTCGAAGCTGTTGGAGCGGGCGGTGGCGAAGAGATAGCGGCCGCTGTGGGAGAGGGTGCAGACGTCGGAGCGGTACATCTTGTTCTTGGCGCCGGGGATGCCGGGGGGGATGAGGGGGAAGGAGCGGTGGGTGTAGACTGGGAGGCGGGTGGCCGGGTCGACGACGTACTCGCAGAGGCGGTTGCCGGCCTCCATGAGAGCGTAGAGGTAGTTGCCGGTGGGGTGGATGGCGACCCAGCGCGGGTGGTCGCCCGGGTCGGGGGCGTCGACGGAGCCGACGAGGTCAAGCTCGGGGGCGTCGGGGGATCGCTTCTTGTGGACCCACAGCTTGTTGGCGGTGAGGTCGGCCGAGTAGAGGTAGGTCTCGGTGGGGTCAAAGACCATGCCGTGGATGCCCGTGTTGGGGTCGTACGGGTAGTTCTGGACGTTGGCGTCGAGGGCGCCGGTGGGAGAGACGGCGAAGACGTTGCCGTGGGAGGCATGCTTGTAGAAGGGGTTGCAGTAGACGGCGTAGGGGGGCTTCTGGGCCGCGAGAAGGAAGATGGCACGTGTGTTTGTTGTCGAGAGGGCGGCGTTAGCTGGGGAAGGGAGGTGTTAACTTGGGGTGAGAAGGCTTCGTGATGACATGCCCGGGATGGGAAGGAGCGCGGAGACGTACGGTCATGGGTCATGTCGTGAGAGGCCTCGTGGACGATCTCGGAGGGGCTCTTGACGGCGAAGCTGGACCACTTCTTCATGGCTGCGCCGTACAGGTTCTTCTTGTCGTGCTGTCCAAGTCATTGTCGTGTAAGCCACGTTTGTTTCCCTGGGTCATCAAACTGGTTTCCCCCCGGCAGCAGAAAGACGGGCCGCGCACCATCCCCACAAGCAACTCCAAGAAAAGGTTTCATCTTACGCTAAAGGTCATCCACGATATGGGCTCGTCCTTGGGGATCTCGGTGCGCTTGATGAGCTCAAGGGTGAACTTCTCGTCGTCAAAGGCAACGGTGAAGATGGCGCCGGGCGGGGTCCATGTCCCGATCATGAGGTGGTGGACGGGCATCCTGGGCGTTGTGGAGAAGAGCCTGGCAGTGGGGTTCGTCGTCTTGAGGGCTTGGAGGAGTTGCGATGGCCGTGGGGGCATGTGCTGGACGGGAAGTGCTTCGCAGTGGGGGGATGAAGATGGCGCGAAGCCGGTGAAGCTTAGAGCGAATTTACGTCAAAAATCGGACGAGTCTCCGGCCGAGGTCACAGAGCTTCTAGTGTAGGTGTATATATAGCCCGAGCTCCAGTTAGGTAAAGATCACGATACCAGTAAAATATGGGGTCGAGGCGAGAACCATGTCGAGAGAGAAAAGGATGGGAAGAAACCGAGGTGACGAAAGCTTTAAGAAGTCTGTACCTTGCATCGTGGGTGGGGGGAGGGGTACTGCGGGGAGGGGGATGGGAGAGATAACTGTTGTTGCCCCTCGTTTCCCGAACCCCAGACAGCGATGAGTTGGAGAAGGAAAAATGAAATAACAAAGGACCCGCCGTGTTACGACTGCGATGTGGGGTCGCCTACGAGGGGCCGCTCGGGAGATGTGGGCGGTAATTGGCCTTGCGGGGGAGGGCAATTGTTCCCGGCAGAGTGTTCTTCCCCTTTGTTCTTCCGTGCCGGCTGCTGGGCGCCGGTATGTTCAATCCGGCGAAGTATTACTTCGACATCCGAGGCGGCAGGGTCCGGACGCCGGCCGACGGCACACTGAACACCCACCAGAGACGGCTTTCGTTCTCACCAAATGCAAAAACCCACAGCAAAATATTCCTACCATTACGACTGCACTCCATTCCATTGTTTGCGTCTTGTCTCTTTTATAACATTTACTCGAGAAGAGGGGTATCATTGGGTACTACAGTTACAGTTACTGAGTGGGGACTTTTACCTTGCCCCTAAAACCTGGGTCGTGCGTGTACAGTGACTGGGCTCCTCGTTGAGAGATCGGCCGAGACGAGTGCTCATGCAAGTGCTCATGCAGTGCCTTGAAAGAAGAGGCGCGACCGAGGAGCCGTTGCGGCTCGTCATATTCGACGACCGCCCCCGCATCAATGACCGCAACTCGGTCAAACTCCAGGATCGACTCCAGCTTGTGTGCAATGACGATGACGGTCCAGTCGTGGAACCACGTCCGGAGCACCTCGTCGACAACCCGCCTCGACTCTTCGTTCAAGCTATGGCGCCTGTTAACGAGCTCCTGGTTGAGGGGATGCGGACTCATTCTTACCTGCTGCTGATTTCATCCTCAAGCACGCCCAATAACGCAGCCGGTGGGCAGTCATTGTAGCTTCCAGCTTGACGAAGTGCCGCTTCCGAAAATTTATTCAATTCGATGGTCTCCTTCCCGAGATATTGCTCCCTGGTAGATCGTCCGGCTATTTCGTTGTTTATGACCTGGCCATTTCCACTGAGAACGATGACGTCGTCGGCAAATGATAGTCGACGCGCTGCAAACCAATTATCAGCAAAGCGTGGAGGTGACATGATGAACTCGAAGAACATACCATTGGACGATACCAGTACAACGGTGGTGTCAGTATCCCTAAGCAAGCCGTCGCTACCAAAAAGACCGTTAAAGACGATGTCTTTAGTACCAGGGTCAAGACCGCTGAAGACATCGTCGAAAAGCAGCAGCTCCCCTCTTGCATACAAAGCTTGAGCAACAGCCTGGATAATGCTTAGATCCAGGAACTGCCAGTAATTGTAGGGAAACGTACCAGCCGATGTTTCTGTCCGCCACTTATGGAAATCCCCTTGCTCCTAGCCACGGCATCCTCTCCCTGTGGCCAGTTGGAGATGTCTTGCTCCAAAGCACAGGCTCTGATGATAGTCTGATGCAGGGCGGATCAAAGGCTACAAAGCCAACAATGACGGTCCGTACCGTATCGTTCGGTATCCACGCGGTTTGGCTGCGGTATGCGATGCCGCTTAGGTTTGTATGTATAGTTCCATCGAAGGATGAAAGTTCACCGAGGAGAGCTTTGAGAAGTGTCGACTTTCCGCATCCAACAGGCCCTAGAACCAAAGTAAAAGCTCCTCGCTTGATGTTCCAGTTGTCAATGTCAATGACAGGTCTGGAGTCTTCCGACCACGCGAATGTTCCTCTGATGGAAACTATGACGTTTTCAGCAAGATTGAACCATACAGAGTCGTCCCCTTGCAATTCCAAGAGCTCGGGATCCTGCGACGGCACGGATTCCCGATCAGGGTGCCGAAAATCCATATTCCCCGTCAAGATATTGTCACCTGGCTTCGGACTGTCCGCAACGAGTCCGCTGTTATTGCGCTCCTTTCCATTCAGGAAATCTTGAATTCTCTGGAAAGACCTGATGGCAGTTGCGAGAAGGGGCAGGCCCATGACAATACCAACCAGATGCTGGTTCACCAGGATCAACAGAGAATATGCCGTGAAAGCCTTTTGAAGTGTCAAAGTGTCGCCGCGCCGGGATGCTGTCCCGGCAAAAGTCCCAAACGTGAGTATTGGAGACCAAATCAGCGTGCAAATCACTTGTAAGCCATCGTCAGTGATATACATGGCAAAAGAACAAAAACGGCTCACAAAACATCATAGACACGCCGAGCAAGATCCTGAATCATCTCGACACCTCCAACTCAGTAACCCGGAGCGTCTGGATAACCGCAAAGGCCACGTCACTAAGACCTGAGGCTTTAAGCCACTTTATATTTGCCAAAGTCTTCGAGGTTGTTGAAACGCGGTCCTGCGAGGCTTTAATCCATTCTGCTGACGCTTTGCCAGTCGGAATGGCGAAAAAGGCTGTGGCAATGAGGTCGGCTGATGACCGAATCAGCCGATTTGTATCCCCTGGAGAACTTAACACAATGACATACCAAAGACGAGGGCGACGGGCATGGCGCAAGCAGCCCCAAGTTGCCTGTAGATGAGGTAAATCCCAATACTGATCTCCAGGAGGCCTCCCCACACCTCATGAAGATGGACGATGCCCTTGCTGATAGTCTCGGTGTCGGTTCCAACCAAAGTTAATGCTCCCGAGGGACTGACGTTCGGCGACGACAGATCCAGTCTCAGTGCTTTCCTGTAGACAAGTGCTGTTGTGCTACCCCTCGCAATCGAGGCCGCGCGCTGATTACGCCAATCATACTGACCCGTCGAAACCTGCACACAGTGTTAAGCTTTAGCAAGTGATCCATTTCCAGAACGGCTGCTAAGTTCGAAGCAATTACAACGAAATAAGTGTAGACGAAAAAGAGAAGAACTTACGGCGATGCCGGTATAGACAAGAGCGTACGCACCTATCAATCCAAAGCCACGATTGTTGTAGAGCCGCGTCTGCGGCTGGCTGGCCAGGCGGATGGACTTGTTTATGAGAACCGGCTGGGCATAATTGAAAGCAATCTGGAAGAGTTTCGGGACGATGGGCGCAGACACGGGACCCGCAAACGTACAGAGCCAGATGTTGAACAGGGCGCCGGGTACGGTTTTGTTCGGGGCTTTTTTCGCAGTTACCATATAGATTAGCCGGCGGGGTAATCTATTGTAGTCGAGACGGGCGGAGATTTCATGCCTTACCTTTGTCCCACACGTCGGCGAGTTTCCTGTATATAGGCCCTGAGGCTAGTTTCGGGTACAGCGGGTAGAGGTCGTCCAGGCGGAGGGGATATTCCTGTCTCCATTGACGAAGAGCGACGCCAGCCAGGAAAAAAAAAAACAGATCTGCTGAAAGTTCCGCTGGTGACCTCCTTGGAATATCCTTTGGGTCGCGGGACTAGTATGCGGCGCTTCTCTGTTGATTCAAGAAGGACCATAACAGCTCTCAACACCAAAGTACATGTGAAGACAGCAGCAGGGATGGTCCGACTGGAGCCTAACATCCACAAAGTTTGAGCACGGGCGGTGTCCAGCAGGACTGACAGGAAGAGGTAAGTGGAGAGGATGAACGACAGCCTCAGGGACCGTTCGTGCGAGAGCCATGACAACAAACCCACCCCGAGCGAGGCAACGAGGCTGAGGACAGCAGTGGGAATGGTTGCCCGTGTGCGGGGGAAGACATCAGAGGGCGTGGCGATCCACAGTACGAGATGCGCAACGTTGAGGGCAACCAGGCAAACGGATGCAGACTGTCAGCACGTCAGCCAGTCCTGTCGTGGTAGCAATGCCAGTTCGTCGGGACTGACGGCTTTGAGGTGGCGCAGGGTGCTGGCGACGACCTTGACATCCGACCTTGCCAGGCGTAGGGCGCAGATTGGGAGCACGAGCAGGAGGAGGGATTGCAGGGGAAGCGCAAGTACGGCTTCCTCGAACAGTAGCGTGAGGTCAAAGCCTCCCCGGCAGTAGTCTCCGGCCCACGGGCCGAGCTAGTCATCTTGCCCGGCGGGGCAACCCGGCTGCGAGACCCACATGGGTGGGCATGGTCGTCGACCAGGCACCGGAATTCTGTCGCTGATGGGGTTTCAAGATGCAGGGAGTCAATCAAACGGACGCCTTCAAAACAAAACATGGTCCAAATACGGACACAACGTTCTGATACTTTGCGTACTGGTAAGAGCGTCAATGTCGAAGGTAGAGGAACGTTGTAGCAACAAGGTAAAAGCATTGTTGGGGCATCGCCCAAACTTGTAGCATAGGTACCAATTGAAATGAGAGACGAACAGTCTTGTTGGAGAGCGAAGAGAATGGAACGGAATGGAACGGAATGGAAAACACATCTCTGTAGCCGCCGACAAGCCCAGACGAATTCTCGGTGACCCGGGAGTGGTGAGCCCTAGGCAGAGTACCGCCGGTAGGTAGGTAGCCAAGTCTACGTCCTCAGTGGTAGGGGGCAGGGGGTTGTGAGCACCAATCGGGTTGAGGGCGTTACCGGTGTCGGGAAGCGGCACGGCGATGGGCAGACACAGCCACCCGGTGAATTGCCTAAATCAGACTCGGTCTCACAGAGTAGATAGCGGTACTGGAAGGTCCCGTTGCGGGTGGGTGGGAAGAAAGGCAGATGGACTCTGATCGGCTTCAGGAGCAGCAGGCAGTCCGAGTCCTTTTGTGTTGGACGGACGAGCCGGCGTCCGCGCCGCGGGCCGGCAACTCGCCAGAGAGTCAAGATGCAGAAATATTGGGAAGAAGTTTGATCATTGTAGATTGACGGGCGTATCAAGCCTGGTCTTGGAGCCGTCTGGGTCTGAGGGTGTCCATACTGATCAGATGAGTTTGAAAAGATTTGAGATGACGATGCCGGAAGTCGTTGAGTTGGAAAAAATGGCGGTGGGACCCCCTCACAGGTTGGTTCCAGAAGCATCTCCGTACTCCGTATCGATGCACATAAGGGTGGATACCAGTCTACCGGTCCATGAAAATGGCGCCGTCTGAAGTCGGATGATTGTGCGCATCCTTGCCTTGCACGATTCAAAGCAGGAAAAGAAAAGCAAAACAGGCGCGTGCCGAGAACAGGGTAATGTGGAATAGGGATACCAGGCCTTTGGTAGGCAGTAGATAGTGTGGTACTACTACTATACTCCGTAGGTAAGGTAAACCAGGCGGCGGTGTGGTGTGTAGGTACCCCGTACCTAGGTGATGGAAGCAACCGCGTTGATGCAATGGATGGAAGTACGACTATGTATGCAGAGAAGCCACGTGATTTAGACGTGGTGTATGTGAATAATTACCTACCGGCAGGTACTCACTCGCCAAGAGGGGAACCGCGGGGTCCCTTTTCCTTCTGCTCAATCTGAATTTCGGGCAGGTAAAACACCGCGACTGTGACAGACCGGTATCCAAAAGAAACAGGGCAAGAACGAATGACAAGGAGAAGTAAACCCCGGACCAAACGAGGTCAAAGGGGTAACTTTTCTGCCAAGTTTGAGGCAAACGGCCTGTCTCGCTCTCCCCGTCCTCGTCCCGTGGGCGTGGGGAAGGAAATGCAGTGGGCAACAACAAGAGCAGGGAGCACGAACCAATTGATCACTCGCTGATCAGGCACACAATGGGAGCGCCCCCTTTTCTCCTCATGTGGGCATGTATGGGTGTGGATGTGCGTGTTTGATTGTGCGATGCACCCTCGTCGATCGTCTCTCACCCGCCTCCTCCAGGATTTCCAAACAGGATCGCAAACACACCTGTCCATCCCCTGATTCTCCTCGCCAAAATGCTTGGCCTCTACCATAACTCTGATATCTGGAGACCGCCCGAACGCCCCAGTGTTCCCCAGAAGCAGAAGCAGAAGCAGAAGCACAAGCGCAAGACCCAAGATTACGAGCTTCTTGGCCCAACGTCTCAAGACTGCAAGAGAAAGAGAGAGGTGGGTTTGAGATTGGGTGCGTTTGGCAATGGGCCAAACCATGACAGAACCAAGAGATATCTGGGACTCGATAGCCAAGATCAAAAGCATCGCCAACACTACCTAAACAGGTTGCTTGGTGTTATTGGCCATTTGCTCTGTTATTAACACCGCTCGCTACTCACTCGCTCACCTGCTGGAGAAGGCAAGGCCCAGCCAGGTAAGTATGCGACAATCATCACCCGACTACGCTAATTTCTTCCACGAGACGGATGGCCTTGGCAATTCGATGCACTAGTTGAAACACCATCCCTCGACCCTCGACCCTCGGGCCACCATGTTCTTTGCCAGGGACTCCTAGCTCCCGGCATTGACTGTGTGAAGGCACAGGGACGAACGGGATCGAGACGGACGGAATGGCGCAGCTACGGTACGCAACCCGCGGCCAAGTTTAATTGAACAAGCATCTTGCCAGACCATCGAGGAAGGCCACTCCCTCCGGTCCCAAAAAAGAAATTCCCTAAACGGGCAGCGTTGCGCCGAGAACCAGAGGAGAACGAATGCAAGGAAGGCATGTAACGATTTCGACCTCCCTTGCGGCTGACAGACAGTCCAAGCTCGTACGAACAGGGGCGTCTGGTATACGTTATTACCGCACCGTTGTCCCCTTGTGGCCATCGTAACCGATGACCCAGCAGAGATCCGGCATATCTTGCGAACCCAACGATCCAGAACTCTTGCTGTTTTTTGGAATACCCAGGGGCCCGTTTTCGATTCACCAGAGGTTCCTGATTGCCAAGAAACGGCGCAGGGTGCATCGTTGACAGTCTGAAATTTAGACATTGCGGCTTCGACCATGCGTGCGTGTCCTTAACCGCCATCTTGGTGCAAAGTATGGGGATGCAGACGGTTCACCCGCTCGGGATGGATCCGGACGCACAGAAGAAAGGGAGCAAGCCAACGAGAGGCAAGATATGGAGGAGGAGAAGGAGGAGAAGGAGGAGGCTCGAGAGAAAGGAGTTCGCCAAGCCCTCCCGCTGGCGACGTTTCATCCCAGGTTTGACAGCTTGCTTTCCGATCAAACTGCACCAGCGAGCTAGCTACCCAGTAGGTAGGTAGGTGGCGTAGCGTAGGAACAGGAGCCCCCCCCCCCCCCCCCCCTGGGAGCCTCGGACTTGGTAAAAACCAAGGCAGCGAGCGCGCTGGTAGCCACCCCCGTGGGAAGAAGCTTAGCTCGCAAGCCCAACCCAATTGTCACACCACGCACTGAACAACGGGCGGGGCCTTTCTGAAGCACCGCCCGTCTGATCATCACAGCAGCCGTCCCTCCATTGGGCCTGGCCTCTCTCTCTGCACCGCCAACCATGGACAACCCTTCATGAAGCCCATGGCCTGTCGGCTACATTCACCTTTTCTTTGCACATCCTGCCATGCATCGGGTTTATTTTCGGATCCCGCCTCCACCCTCTATGGCTCGCGACTGCTCCGGGGTCTGTCGCGGGATGGCCGTCGTCGTTGTCGTCGTCGTCGTCGTCGTCGCTGCCGTCGTCGCCGTCGTGATCCTTGACTCACGCCTCTACTACCCCGTTGACCCTCACGCCTCTCGACCCGAGAGAAGGCCCTTACACTCACTCTCCTGGCTCCACCAACCCTCCTGCACTGCCCGTGCGATGGATCATGGCCTGTGACATGGCTGACATGGTCGCAGTAGGCGCGAGATGATGTTCACATAGTTTGTTTGACAACATGTCTCAATTCCTTGGCACTGCAACCTCAGTGTAGCATGCTGGCCATGCTGGATGTCTGGTATGCGATTCCCCAAAGGGTTCCACCTGGACCACATTCACTCCAGGCTGATAGTTTATATCAACCCAGCCCATCCTGATCCTTCTTTCGTTCTCTTCCTTTGGCACTCCCAAATATCCAACCAAATCTCTGTTTCTGGTTCAGTTCCTTCTCTTTGGCTGGTCCAGTCCTTCTTTTGTGTCTCCATTTTTTCTCAACCTCGTTTCATTCTCAACGGTTCCGTGAACCTTTTTTATTCGGTTTTGTGTTATCGCCATATTCTCTCATATCTACGACGTCTTTTACTTGTGACTGAGGATATCTTCTAGCACTTCATTCGAAATGAAGAGCTCCATTCTCCTTTCCATTGCGGCCATCGCTGCCCAAGTCATCGCGCTCCCCACTCGTGATGAGCCGTCCGTGGCTCTGCGCGTCAGGGATATAAGCATGGCGGCCAACGTCGATGTCAGGCCCAAGCTCCGCCGTGGCAAGGCCGAAGTGCAAGGTACATAATAAACCCACCCGCCCATGTATGCATATTGAAACTAACATCCATCGTCAGCCGATGAGGAGGACGACCTTGAGGATGACGTCGAGGAGGATGACGTTGAGGATGACGCCGCCGCCCAGCTTGACGCCCGCAAGGACAAGGCAGCTGAAGCCGCCGCCGACCCCGCTGCTGAAGCCGCGGCCGGAGACGCAGCGGCCAACGACGGAACCGCCAACGCCGACGACGGTAAGGGAAAGAAGAACAAGGACGCACAGGCCAAGGACGCAAAGAAGAACAAGGACAACGGAGCAGCTGCCGATGGTGCTGCAAACAATGGAACTGCCAACGCTGCTGATGGCAAGGGCAAGAAGAACAAGGACGCAAATGCCAAGGACGCAAAGAAGAACAAGGACAACGGAGCAGCTGCCGATGGCGCTGCGAAGGACGCACAGGCCAAGGACGCAAAGAAGAACAAGGACAACGGAGCAGCTGCCGATGGTGCTGCAAACAATGGAACTGCCAACGCTGCCGATGGTAAGGGCAAGAAGAACAAGGACGCAAATGCCAAGGACGCAAATGCCAAGGACGCAAAGAAGAACAAGGACAATGGAGCAGCTGCCGATGGCGCTGCAAAGGACGCAAATGCCAAGGACGCAGAGAAGAATAAGGACAACGGAGCAGCTGCCAATGGCGCTGCGAACAATGGAACTGCTAACGCTGCCGATGGTAAGGGCAAGAAGAACAAGGACGCAAATGCCAAGGACGCAAATGCCAAGGACGCAAAGAAGAACAAGGACAATGGAGCAGCTGCCGATGGCGCTGCAAAGGACGCAAATGCCAAGGACGCAGAGAAGAACAAGGACAACGGAGCAGCTGCCAATGGCGCTGCGAACAATGGAACTGCTAACGCTGCTGATGGTAAGGGCAAGAAGAACAAGGACGCAAATGCCAAGGACGCAAATGCCAAGGACGCAAATGCCAAGGACGCAAAGAAGAACAAGGACAACGGAGCGGCTGCCGGTGGTGCTGCGAACAATGGAACTGCCAACGCTGCCGATGGCAAGGGCAAGAAGAACAATGATGCCAATGCCAAGGACGCAAAGAAGAACAAGGGAGCAGCTGCCAATGGCGCTGCGAACAATGGAACTGCCAACGCTGCCGATGGCAAGGGCAAGAAGAACAATGATGCCAAGGCCAAGGAGAACGGTGACGCGGGTAGTGCCGCCGACACAGGCAAGGCTGCGGCTGGGGGCAACCAGATTCTCGCCGATCTCCTCTCGGGTGTAAGTGCTTCATTTCAGTTGTGCATGAAGGACAGCGGTGCTAATTTACCCACAGCTCACTGGCGGTGCTGGTGCAGGTGCAGGTGCTGGTGCAGGTGCTGGTGCTGCCAACGGCAACCCTCTGGCGCTCCTCTCCGGCCTCCTCGGGCGCGACGAAGAGTCAGCTGATGCGGAATAAACGGCAGTGGGCGTTTCCGTCTGGCTGTAGAAGGATCACCGTGCCGGGCCGGGTCCTGCAATAGGGTTTCTCCTAGCGGTCCCGGCCAACGCAACGGCGAAACCCGTGGCAGCTTCGCTGGTAGGGCTGCTTGTCGAGTGTGCTGATATGTCGCAATGGTTGAACGGGGAAATAACAAAAACCACACATTTATTTTTTCGGTGGTGCGCGCGGAACTTGGCTTCCTCCCGTCGCATCGCCGTTAAGAATCTCCTTTTGTTTGGGTGTATTCTTAGGACGGGGTTTGCTGCGAGGGATTCTTCTCACCTCATGAGCTTAGGGTTCTTCAGATGCGTTTTGTAAATATTACCGGGAGCCCGCGGATTTCTTTTTCTTGGGGAAATTCGGTGAGAAAGGATTTGGGCGAGGCCGCCCCTCGGAAGCTTATATATCCCGGTTGCGATACCATGAGAACGAGAATGGAACATATTATTCCTCCAAACCGAATGCTGGCGTGTGACTGCTTGAGTGAGAGAGAGCGCGCGTTGCAATTTTGGGAGTGAGATGAGAATCCTCCTAAGTGGGTAGCTGGTGCGTCTCTGTGACTTGGAAAATAACAGCAAGCGGCACTTGGACTCAGACGGCGGCGAAGCAACAGTGGTACATCCAAGGACGACCTGGGTCGGAGGGCCAGCACGTTCCCACCGGTACGGAGTACTCCGACTCTATTATTACCTCCTACGATGTACGATTGATTGTGTACCCGTGCACCCACGTCAAGAGGAATGGGGGGGGGGGGGGGGGGGGGGAGTGGTAAGGAAAAGCGGCCTCTGTCACCCAGGTGCCGCCGTGCGACCTTAGGAAGGACCGACCGCCTTGGATACGTACCTCAGTTCCCATCAGCACGTGTGGGCAATGATTGGCAGGCGATAAGGCGCAGATTAGTGACATGCCTAATTATCTATCTAAACTACCTACCTACTACTACCTACCTACCTGGTTGGGTACGGATAGGTAGGTAGTTGACTCTCTCCCCCCTCGTCTTCCCCTTCTTACTGGTTGAAGCGGACTGCCAGTTGTAATTATAGCCTCTTGGATCGGTTCAGTCAAGAGGCAGAGTTGCTTCTTGACCTTCATTCTCATTTCTCCGCCCTCTCCCTCCCCCATTTTGTAGTACGTCGTTCAATCTTTTTGTCGTCCCCACTGGAACTGGGCCCCCCACATATTCACCTTCCCGATCGGGCGTGGGTTAGACAAAATATCGTTGCGGCGCTTTGCGTGTTTGGCTCCTATCTTGCTTTACCTTATACAGTCGTATCGTTGCCAATGCTGTCAAGGGTGCGCCAAGATCAGAACTTGCCAGGCACGGGACCCTCTAATAGGTCAATTGATACGACGCAAGACCGACCCTTGTTCACCGATCGGTAGGATCTCTGTTCGTCCCGTCCAGTGAAAACGTGAAAACCGACTTCTGCATAGCACTTAGCCATCTTGTATGAAATCATCTGAGCTGGCTGCAAACCCTCGTCTCCCTCGCCCAATCTCTCTTCCATGCGAATGTAGATCATGTACGCGTATGCTCACATGCAAAGAGCCCGCAGCTCCCGAGATGCAAGGGCGGAATGTCCCACAGGGCCCCAACGACGTTGTCGCTTTGCTTGGCGCTCGGCTCGTCATGATACGACCCTGATCAGGGGAACTGGGGACAGAAACCACAAGCTGAAAGCTCAGCTCCATACTACATATAGTCTTGACAACCCCGCGGTTCAATAAAAGCCAAATGGATCATCTCTTTCTTATTCTAGGACGCCGATAATCTCTCTCCAAGCATCGTCGCGAGACAAACCGCTGCCCGTCAAGATGAAGGTTGCGTCCCTCTTCCTCGCCGCCGCCGGTGCCGCCTCGGCCCTGACCATCGCCGAGATCAACGGCAACAAGTTCCTCTCCCCCTTCAAGGACCAGTCCGTGGCCAACGTCACCGGCCTTGTCCTCGCCAAGGGCCCCAACGGAATCTGGATCCGCTCGACGACGCCCGACGACGACGCCGCCACCTCCGAGGCCCTCTACGTCTACAGCAGCTCCGTCGGTGCGAACCTCTCCGTGGGCGACCTCATCACTCTGGACGGAAAGATCCAGGAGTACAGGTGAGCCACATCCTCGCGCGCTGCTCTTTTGTCTACATGGGAGCTTTGGCTAACAAAGCATAGGTCCGCAGCGAACTACATTTACCTCACGGAGCTCAGCTCTCCCAAGAACGTCGTCGTCGCGTCCAAGGGCAACCAAGTCGTCCCGCTCGTCATCGGCGTTGACACCCTGCCCCCTCCCACCGAGCAGTACACCAGCCTCGACGGTGGCGACGTTTACGCCGTGCCTAACGCCGTCGCCAATATCTCCACCGAGAACCCCGTCCTCAACCCCGAGCTCTATGGCCTTGACTTCTGGGAGTCCCTGAGCGGTGAGCTTGTCACCGTCAAGAACCCCGTCGCCGTCACTCGCCCCAACCAGTACGGCGACACCTGGGTTGTTGGCGACTGGCCCACTACCGGCCGCAACTCGCACGGCGGCATCACCATGACTGGCAAGGGTAAGACTCGACATGTGCGGAAAAGCGAGTGAGTGACTGACACGTGCCCCAAGACTCCAACCCCGAGGCCATCACCATCGGCTCCCCCCTAGACGGCACCAAGAATCCCGAGTCCAAGATGGGCGACCAGCTCACCGAGATCACCGGCGTCGTGACCTACGCCTTCGGCTTTTACCGCATCCTGCCTCTGACAGCCATCACCATCGCCAAAAACGCCACCAACGACGCTCCCGCCACCTCTCTGGTTAGCAACGGTGACTGCACGGGCATCACCGTCGGCGACTACAACGTCGAGAACCTCTCCCCTTCCTCGGCCCACCTCCCCTCTATCGCCGCCCACATCGTCGACTACATGAAGACGCCCGACCTCATCTTTGTCCAGGAGATCCAGGACAACAGCGGTGCGACCAACAACGGCATCGTCTCATCCAATGTCACCCTCACCACCCTCACCACCGAGATCGAGTCCCGCTCCGGCGCCGTCTACGACTTTGCCGTCATTGACCCCGTCGACGGTCAGGACGGTGGCCAGCCCGGCGGCAACATCCGCGTCGCCTACCTCTACAAGCCCGACGTTGTCGAGCTGTGGAAGCCCAACCCCGGCGGCAGCCTCGACGCCAACGAGGTTCTTCCCGGCCCCGAGCTGAAGTACAACCCCGGCCGCATTGCGCCCGCCAGCAGCGCGTGGGACGCCAGCCGCAAGCCCCTCGTTGCCGCGTGGCGCACCGTCAAGGGGACCCAGAGCAAGACCTTCTTCACCGTCAATGTTCACTTGGCCTCCAAGGGCGGCTCCTCCTCCCTGCACGGCGACCTCCGCCCCCCCGTCAATGGTGTCGTGAACGCGCGCATCGAGCAGGCCGAGCTCGCCGGTGTATGTTCCTCCTCCCCGCCCCTGAAGCCTCGTTTTCTGTAAACCCTTGCTGACCCCCTTCTGTACAACAGTCCTTCATCGCCGAGATCCTCGCTGCCGATCCCAACGCGAGCATCATCACCTCCGGCGACTTCAACGAGTTCGCATTCGTCGAGCCCCTCGAAGTCTTCGCGGCCAAGTCCGGCCTCCTCGACCTCGACGAGGTCGTAGACACCCCCGTCGAGGAGCGCTACACGTACGCCTACGACATGAACGCCCAGGAGCTCGACCACATATTTGTCAGCCCCGCGCTCGCCGCCAGGAACGGGACCGCGTACGAGCACATCCACGTTAACTCGTGGGAGCTGTACAACGAGCTCGTCAGTGACCACGACCCGTCCGTCGCGCTCCTTAACGTCTGCTAGGTGCCGGATCCCTCCTAGCAAGAAAAAAGAAAGACAAAAAAAGAAAAAGAGAAGAAGTCTTTGTAGATCCCGGGCCGCTTTAATTGCCCCTTTCTTGTATATCCTTAGACGTCGACGAGGCACGAATTTAATGTTAATTGTTGTACGATCTACCAATAATCTTCCCAGTTACCCAGATATTCTAGAGCAAGTATGACCTAGATACGAGTATGTGTTCCAGGGTGGATTTTCCGAACGCCCGATGGCGGCAAAGTTTGCTCAAATGCCAGAGCAACTGGTGGTTGTACATGACAATTCCACAGGCGGCTGAGCTCATCTCGAGAAAACGAGAGCCAGGTAGGCTCACGGTGCATCCTGGCCAAGAAAGACTAATCTGCAACAAACACAATGATCAAACAGAATCTCAAGAGGCACTTCGAAGCCGAGCCGCTCCATTGACACAAGTCTCGCAATTCCAATTTTCATAACCGCGTGCTACAACCCTTCCGGTCTCTCCGTGCTTTGTTACTTCGCCCGAGTGCCGGCCTACCGTCCCGAGTGGGTCCGCATCGGCCATCGGGTAGGTCGACCTTCTAGCTTCAGCCTCCGGCGCCGGCATCACCATCCGCATGCCGGTTTGTGCACCGCTCAAACAATGCAAATGTCTTCCCACAGGTGTTTTGCGAAAGAGCTATCGGTTAGTGCATAAAAGCTAACAGCACTCATGAAATCTTCCAGACTGACTCCGACGATGGGGACGGCCAGAAGAAGTTGGTGCGATCTTCTCCGCTTATATCGCCCCGGTTTATCAGATTCCACGCACGGAGAAAGTTTTCTCCCCAGCTTGGTTCTCGAGGCTCCTCATTGAGCCATAGATTCGGCTCTGTTCCCAGTTCGAGACTACGCTGGAGCCAACAAATGTACGTCCCCGGACTGTATGACCATCCTTAGCCGTTCATGACGTCGTCGTTCTTCTGAACAACTGACAGGACGCGTATTTTAGTGTCGAGCCGCTGCCCTAAGAGTGATTTCAGCAAATTGCTCGTAGTGAAGGCATGGCTGATCTCGTGAGAGTGACCGCAGGACCAATCTAGTTCTATCAGAACTTGGTATACCTCTTCTTTTCGCAGATATTCTGATTCCCATTCCGTGTCATCTTTGCGGCAATGTCTATTCCCTTTCGGTAGCCACTTGAGATTGTCGGGCTTCTCGTTAAGACTCAGATTCTCTACCCAACCCCAGCGGGCTTTATACAAGTAATCAGTATATCTAGTGTTCTCCGCTTCATTTGAACTGTGTTCCTCAAAGATGATCCGAATAGACTCGCGTTTACAGCGTTTACACGCATCTGGCTGGGGGAAGGTTCTTCGTCTTTCCGAGTAGCGTGTAGATGGAGGCTTTCCCGGAGAAGCTCTAATGGACCGGCAATGGTTTTGTTTTGCCGACTGAAAGCAATGGTTCCTTCTTTGGCGAATTTCTTGAGATTTGGCTGAGGCGAGCTTTTTGTCGTTTCAGTTCTGGCGAGAGTATCTTCGAGGAATTCTGACGCAATCGTCTGATAAGATCGTGACTGCTCGCCCTCCGGTAGCCAACATTCTTCTATGACAGCAAACGTATTCCATTGTCTGCCACCTACTCAAGTTGTACCAAGAACTATCACCCAGGATGTAATTCAATGTGCAAATAAGCAGGTTACTGCAGCGGTTCAGTATGAGGCGAAGGGTATCGGCCG